ACCCCTGTCAAAGGATCATTTTACCCCCAAAGGGGTCATGACCCACAGGTTGAGAACTACTGAATTAGAGAACGCTGATATTTCCTAGAAAAAAGTAAAATTATACTTAATGTGGCCAAATATATGAGAAGCTTCAGTGAAGGTATTCCAGCAATCTTTCTACGGCTATAAGATCATCCTCATGCTCTGCAACCATTGGGCAGTATGCTGTCTTGTCTTCATTGTATATCTGGTCAAATCTCACTAAAAGACTCTGTATTTAGGCTGAGAATGTCACTAGAGTGTTCTTTAGAATTAAACAAAGACTTATGTTGTTGTCTCATTGATTACACAACCTAATGTTGTTGCCTCATTAATTAATGCAATGTTTTGAAAGTTTAATGGCACTTAAAAACAAGTAGGCAAGACTTTCTCTCTCTGTACATCTGTAAGTGTATATGTATGCATGTGTCTATACATGTATGTGTCTATACATGTATGTGTCTATACATGTATGTGTCTGTGCTGTGTGTTTCTGCATCTGTGTCTACATTTGTGTGTGGGTGTATGGGTCTGTGTCTGAATGACTTTGTATGTGCCTGAGCCTATAAGACTGTGTTGTGTGTCTGTGTGTGTGTGTGTGTGTGTGAGAGAGAGAGAGAGAGAGAGAGAGAGAGACAGACAGAGAGAGAGAGAGAGAGAGAGAGAGAGAGAGAGAGAGACAGAGACAGAGAGAGAGAGAGAGAGAGAGAAAGAAAGAGTTGACACAAACATACATGAAACAAAAAACTCAAGAATGTAGATTATTGTTAGGAAGTCAAACAACTTTATATCATAATACAAAATATGCTAGTAGGTGTAAATAGAGACTTTCTTGAAAAAAACAAAATGGATACATCACATCATCACAGCCATTGATCGTATGCCACAGATCATCACATATGTTAAATGTATGTCACACATCATAACTTTGTTGAATATATCAAACATCATCACATATGATGTTTGTAAGCCAGAGATCATTACATATGTTGAATATGTGCTAAACATCATCATTTTGCTGAATATGTAACATATCATCACAGATGATGAATGTATGCCACACATCATGATTTTGTTGAACATGTAACACATCATCACGGATGATGAATGTATTCCACAGATCATCACATATGTTGAATGTGTGCCATATATCATCATGAATGTCAAATGTACATCATATATTATCACATAAGTGCTTTTCATATGTCACCTCAGATACTGGATATTTTTCACAAACAACTACAGACTTTGCACGTATTTCAGGTACCTTTCCTGTATGATAAATATATGTCACAGTTCATTATACTGTGTGTATTATACTTCTCTACATATGATAAATGTCTCTCTGTCTCTCTCTCCCTCCGTCTCTGTTTCTCACACTTGTGATCTTACAACATGGCTCTCCACCCACTTCCTCAGGTACACACACACACACACTGTCATACAATGTTCTCTCCTCACTCACACATACAGATAACAAAATATGACCCTGTGGTTAGGTTTTAAGCCTTTGAGAGTATCTGCTCTGTGCTTTTCTTTCCAAGAGCAGCCCAACACGCATCCTTACAAATAATAAATAGTTAACATTTATTTTTAAAAAAAAAGAAAAGACGAAACGAAAAACGGGGTGGTGTGGGCAGCTGAAGTGGTGCTGCTTAAATATTGTGCTAAGAACTGGTAGATTCTCTTCAGCAAGTAAGAAAATGCAGCAAAAGTAAAGAAAATAACTGAACAGGATTGGAAGACGACAACTGTGGAGACAAATACTGTACAGTAAAACTAAGTGAAAAAAAATATGAAACAAAAGACTGAAAATGAAAACGGTTTCTGTCCACGAAGTTCCCTGAACTCAAAATCTTACTTTGTTTCAATGCAATATACCGTTTATCTTACTTTGTTTCAATGCAATATACCGTTTATCTTACTTTGTTTCAATGCAATATGCCGTTTGACAAAGTTCGACTTTAGCAGTTAACAGCCAAGAATTTAAGTATTACGATTCTTCAACACCGACCATATCCTTCAGACTTGGTTCCACCATTGGTTTTTTCCCAAATATTAAAATCATCAAAACATAAAATAATGTTGACAAAGGTAAAGTTATATTGGCAAATGATGAGCAGTTTGGTGTAAAGAATTTTTTTTTACTACAATACGCACATTAAACTACAAAACGCAAGATATTTCAAAATTCAATCAGAGATGACATAAATGTATGAATTCAAGTGCTGGTCATACTAAAAATTAATAAATGCTATATACAGTTTCAGTTTCTTCACTGCCAGGATAAAGAGCTACAGGGGTAACCAGAAGAGACAAAATTACAAATGAAGAAAAAAGAAGACTGACTGAAACCAGTTGTACAGTTCATTAAAGAGCAGCAGAAGAGATGGTCTGACCATCTGAGGAGAATCCCCTGATACCAAATGTCTCAGAGAGGCTCACTAAAGAAATATAATGGACACAGAGAAAGGGGAAGACCAAGTAAAAATTTGAAAAGAAGGCCTTAAAGAAGTGAAGATCCACTGATGCAACACATAGAAAGTACACACCTTAAAGAAGTGAAGATCCACTGATGCAACACATAGAAAGTACACACCTTAAAGAAGTGAAGATCCACTGATGCAACACATAGAAAGTACACACCTTAAAGAAGTGAAGATCCACTGATGCAACACATAGAAAGTACACACCTTAAAGAACTGAAGATCCACTGATGCAACACACTAGAAATTACACACCTTAAAGAAGTGAAGATCCACTGATACAACACATAGAAAGTACACACCTTAAAGAAGTGAAGATCCACTGATGCAACACATAGAAAGTACACACCTTAAAGAAGTGAAGATCCACTGATACAACACACAGAAAGTACACACCTTAAAGAAGTGAAGATCCACTGATGCAACACATAGAAAGTACACACCTTAAAGAACTGAAGATCAACTGATGCAACACACTAGAAAGTACACACCTTAAAGAAGTGAAGATCAACTGATACAACACACTAGAAAGTACATACACAAGATCCTTATGTTTCAGCATAATACTTTGATGGTCTAACTGCAGATAGAGAAAAAGTCAAGTTAGACTTAAATATAGCAAGCCCCTTCTGTGTGTGGGAGCAGCTGTGTATAGTGGCTAGATGCTCACATGCGGATCCGAAGGTGATGGGTTCATGTCCATATGGAATCAGATTATTTTTTGAAACACTACCTTGGCTCCCAGGTTTTCCAGCCTTACATGAGTACCAGGTAAAGTCATGGGAAGTAAAGGTGGCCGGCATGAGGGCAGAATTGGCCGATAACAATGTGAGTCGGGCCTTATTTGACTGATACGCCCCTGGCGTGTAAAGGGACCTCGTGTGTATGTGTGTGCATGTGTATGTATTTAAAAAAAAAGCATTTTCACAAACGACTACAAGATTCTAATGGAAATATTCTGCTTATAAATAAAAGCAAAGTGCAAGTTAGAAAATACAGCAGCAGCTAAAGATAGGTTGGTGCACTGGTTATCAATACAGTGTCTTTTGTTCTCTTTCAATTCTCAGTCAAACCAATCTTCCTTTCTTGTCTCAGGGCATGCATGGTAGTTTACAATGTTACAACTGTCTGCTTTCTTTATGGGCCTTGGTAATTTAGAGAACACACTACAATAGTTCAGAATGACAGCAGAAAATACATGGAAATTACAATAGCTGAGCAAATGATATAATTCAAACTGAAATCAGGCCACTGTAAACTTCAAGCCAACAAATGCACTTGTTCAAAACTAAACATGATGTTAAGTATGTGTGTGAAAAATTGAGATGACAATGAAGTACAATTTTTATTGAGTGGGATCTGCAAAGAACTCAAAACACAGAACTGGCCTTCCAATCCGTCAAGGGTAAGGCGAGTAGGATATACAATGTGACAGTTACTGGTACCATCAGTACTAGAACTCTCTGCTTGCTGCTGAAGATGGGGACAGAGCACTTATGGGCAGTGTCTTGAGTGCTATGATGTTGATTCTTAATTCAACATAGGCCTTACAAATTTTTCAATTATAAGATACAAGCTGGTCCAAAGATCTTTCCCTCTGGGCACTGAACTGGAGTGTCAGCTGACAATTCTAAAAGTAAAGAAACTTTTACAGGCATTAGGCATATGGTGCTAGGCCAATATTTTTATAGACCAACCGGCACGTGATTGGTGATGTAATCAGCATCACAATGGTCGCCTTTACTTTCTAGAACATTTTGCGGTATCTATTTAGGCTTGGTTCACCTGGTAACTTATGTAAATTTTTAAGAATAAATCCACCTCAATCCAGATCTGAACCCTAGAGCTTTAGACAAGCAAGCAAGTTTCTAGTTGCTAGGCCAATGTGGCTCCCTTGAGAATTGCACTGGTTTGGAAAAAAAAAAATCAGGCTACTACAGAGAAACAAAGCATAACCAATGTGGAAAACAGTACAAGATTCATCCACTTCAAGCAAAGACTCGTTAACTTCAGACATTAATCAAATTAAATTTTTAAAAACAACAAGGATTTCAAATACTCATTTTGCCAACTTCAAGGATCTACTCCAAATTATTTCAAATATTTTTCACATTCTAATCTTATACATTTTATAAATCTACACAAAAAAATTATATACACTTTTCATATATATATATATAAATATTTTTTTTTTAGATTCTGTTTGCTAACTCAGGAGCCAAAGTAGTGGCCTGATAGTGTCAACAAGGAGACATTACTTTTACTTTACTTACTTATTAACTTTACAAAGTTATTCAATAAATCCGCACCTTTTTGTGTTTAGATTCTAATCCTGTTTACTCACAGCAGCCTTTTCCTAGAGTTTCAGATTCTCAGGATACTTAAAAAGATAAATCAGCAACTAAAGCTTCTTAAAAAGAGATGAAAATGGCCCATCATTTCATAATGTTGACACATACAAATCCAGGCACACATAATAAGTTGTTTTAAGATCTAATCCAAGTTCTTCAGCGCTGCTAGCTGTCTTTCTATTTCTGCATCTGCTGTACTTGTAGATTCACCCAACCGTCCTCTGTGGGCTGCTGGGGCGTCCGAAAGCTTAAGAAAAAAATGAATATGACAATTTATATGTCTACAGAAGGCATGTTGGAGGTGCTTGGTGGTGGGCAGACCAAGGCTGATTGGGCTGGTGTCTTTTTCATTGGAGAGGGTAAAGTAAGTAAACCGTTTTAAAATCCCTGCAGTAAGGGGATTTGAACGCAGGACCCCAAGGCAAGCACATCAGCCACCGGCCTTCTGTTGCCCTCATTGTTACTGGCAGTCAGTTGCCGTGGCAGAGCGGCTAGACGCGCGCCGCGGATCGGAAGGTCGTGGGTTTGCTCCCTGGCGGAGACGGACTTTTCTTTAAAAATGACCTTGGCTCCCAGGTCAACCCAGCCTTGAGTGGGTACCGGGTGCAATCCCGGGAAGTAGAGGCGGCCGGCGTGATGCTGACCACATCACCCATCTTGTGCCGTTGGTCTATAAAAATATAGGTCTAGCCCTATATGCCCTATACGCCTAAAGGCGTGGAAAGGGTCCTTTACTTTACTTACTTACTGGCAGTCATTTGAATTGCTTCATTCATGAACCTTGTATAATTAGCACTGAGCAGATTTTCCACATCAGAAAGAGACAATCTACATTCCTTGATCATGTCATGAGAAAGAGAAGAGAGTACATTGTGACGGTGAGAAAGATGGAGGGGAGGAGAGGCAGAGAGGGACCAAGAGAAAAGATGCTGGACAGTCTGACATCATGGCTGCAAGATCATCTGTGTTAGATTAAAAGTACACCAGACAGAAGGTTGTGGATAGACATGACTACCAACGCTACACTGCAAAGACAATAAGAAGAACTAGAAGTTTATTTCTGAGACTTTTCTTTGTAACTCTTAATTTCTTGACACAGAACTTCAGGGCTAAAAAAGTTTACTGAAATTATGTGGTTACTGTGTGTCAGGCAACATATCTTGTCTATGAAAGAAGAATGTAAAACAAATAATATAAAAATCAACAATGAACAAACAGAAGTAATATCAATAGGAAGAGAGAAGCAGTATCTTTAAACGAACCACAAAAGGTCCTAGAGAGATGGCGTCAATATTTCAACGATCTTCTTAACTAACAATTATAGGAACAATCCACAACTCAAGAAAACAACAGCTACATAAACAAACATTTAGAACCAAGCATAACACTCACAGGAATAAGAAAAGCTGTAAAAGATGTACCTTCCAACAGAGGCCCTGACAGTATATCTGCTGAACTACTCAAAGCAACAACAAAAGTAGATGTAGAATGGATGCACAGACTGTTCAGCCTAGTCTGGACAACACAAGAGACACAGGAGGACTGGATAAAGGCAATAATAGTACCCATCCGGAAGAAGAAAGGCAGAAAAAGAGACTGAAAAGTATAGAAGAGTTTCGTTATGGAGCCACACCAGGAAAATATTTGTAAGATCCTTGAAAAAAGGCTACGTCCTATCATCGAACCACAATTCAGTGAAATGCAAATGGGATTTTAGAAGAAAAGAAGTTGTAATGGTGCAATATTCACATGTAGACAATTTGTGGAAAGGAAGGTAGAATTCGATAAAAAAATTACACGTCACATTCGTAGACCAAGAGAAAGCTTTTGATTGAATTAATAGGAATACATTATGGAAGATACTACAGGATTACAGAGTAAACGAACACCTTATTAAATTGTGCAAGAGTTTAAGGTGAACAGTCAATGCGCAGTTAGAATAAAAACAGGAATGTCAGAAAAGTTCTACATTAAATCTGGAGTGAGACAGGGGTCCGTTCTGTCACCACTACTGTTTATCACATACGGCGACCAAATTTGCAAATCCTCTAACACCAACGAAGGGACAACATCAGAGAATTACTAAATGAATTGCTTTTCGACAATGACCAGGCATTGATAGCACCAACCGCAGTATAACTATAAGAACATATTAAATAAAAACTGATGAACATATTAAAAGCAAGTGAAGTATTTTACAGATCTGGGGAGCATTTTTTTTCAGAAGATGGAAGAAATTCAGTAAAGATGCAATAACGCCAGTCAAGTTTTAGGCCAAATGGCATCAATTTTTAAATACAAGCATGTGAATATTAACACTAAAAGAACACAATTCAACACAATACTCTTAAAAACTCTGTGCTATCAATATCAAATATGGACACTGTCTTCAGAAGACAGAAGGAAAATAGTCAGGACAAATGAAATGTTTACCTACTATGCTAGGCGTAACTGGGAAGATCGACTTAGGAACGATGATATCAGAAGCAGAGTCGACAATACCATTACTGAACTTCATAGGTAAACAACAAATCAAATTGGATTGGGCCATGTAACAAGACCGGCATCAGACAGGGCACCAGAGATAGCAATGTTATACAGATACAGTGGTAAAAGACCCAGAGGTTGACCACGCAGAAATGGACTGCATAAAAGTCAGACACTAAAAAGTACTTTATACGAAGCGAACAGAATGGCCTGTTTCAGAGATCTCTTCCTGCCCTAACACTATAACACATTTCAGGAGTAGAGAAAAGAAGAAGAAGCAGAAATTAATATAGCAGTAGAAAGCAAAAGTATTGAACAGGTACTGGTAACAAGATTCAGTGAAGATGGTAAACTGAATAAAGAAATCAACATCCAATGCAGTAAAGCAAACCAAGCATTAGGATAGCTGGCTCCCTTCCCTCACACATTACAGCATCAAAAAAAGACACGTGTGTGTGTGTGCGCACTCGCTCACAAGAGACAGCGACGGACATACTGGTGTGGATTTTGCCGGCACAGAAACAGAGCAACTGTGGGATGATCAATTTGCCAGAAAGCTGGAACTTGGATTAACTGATTACCTGAGTACAAAGACTGATCACTCTGGAACTTGGATTACCTGAATACAAAGACTGGTCACTGACACACATAAATTGAGGACTCACCTTTCCTGAGATTTCAATGCCGATTTCATCAAGAACTTGGTTGACAATGGCATCTTCCTCTTCTTCATCCCCAGATTCTGCCAGGATATCATCCAGGGTATCATCCACTGGAGACATGAGATTAAAAGCCAGACAGTGTTTAGGGAACAGTAAGCAACTAAAACATTTACTAATAAACTATACACATTAAAGGTTATAATGCAGCATTAGGAAACATCTCACACAAAGCATATTGAAACCATCAAAGAAAATAAGTCACCATAGAAATGATATGTAAGAGAAGGGCTGCAAGAGTGACCAGAAGAGATAAAATCATGAAAGAGACCAAATTAGTACAGAAACAAATCTAAAATACTGCAAATCAACTGGTTTGCACACTTAGAATGTTGTGTGATATAATACCATATAAGATATACACAAAAAGAGGAGAAGAACACAGAGCATGAGTTAGACCATGAACAATACAGAAAGATAATATTAGAGAAACTACAACAGCATGAAGTGTATATAGTTATGGCAGCCAAAAAAGCCAGAAACAAAACTGAATATCTCCCTTAACACCTGAATCAGTAAAAGAAGTGAAGAAGAAGATGAAGAAGCAGACAGAGAGATGTCAGAAATGAATGAAAGTGCATGGGGCAGAAGGTTGTGGATAGACATGACTACCAAAGAGACAGGGCATGGAGGTTAAGAAGAAGATAGGCAGATATAGTAAAACTATGAGAAATGATTCTTAACAACCTTTTGTTATGTCACGGAAAGGTGTCAGCACGAGAAATGATGAATACCGATACCAAGCATCAGCATGACAGCATTATATGGACTCAAATGAGTATATTGTCTGGGATATGCAGAGGAAATGAAAGAGCAGATTTTTTGGTTACAAAAGCAATTGCAGAAACAGTTGTACTGGACAAAGGAGATGTTCTGAAGACTATTAATGAATGAATGCTGACATAAGGGCAAGCTTAGATGACATGTGTACGAATATGTGAACAAGAAATTACAAGCGGATCTGGCAAGGAAGGACGTATGAGATGAAGAGAACGACGTGTGTATAAATAGTGTGCTACGGGAGCAGTTAACATCTACACCTTAAGACGTTTATTACAGAAGCCAGAGTATTTATGGTTACGTCTGGTGTGCTATGATGTTGATTCTTAAATCAGTAATTATAACTTATTCACGGAAGCAAAATGCCATGGACGGTGTTACGCGGAAGGGGCAAATCAGGAAGGGAATGAGAATGAAGTAAGAAATCATTGCAGAAAAGATGACAGATGAGTGTCTGAGAAGAAACACATTAAATAAATATGATAGCACAACTATTCAGAAATCCCTTGCTCTAACTGTGGAAGAATTTTGTTACTGTAAGCAGGTCTTGCTAGTCACACTCGCAATCGCCATGGGCTGTGAATCTCATGCATCCTCATGGCACAACACTATCGTCTGGAAAGGCAGAAAGGTGCCAAACAAAAATTGTAACTAATATATGATGTTGAGATAGCTGAATGTGGAGAAGTATAACTGCTCACAGCAGTCAGCAAGACACCTGATGAAAGATGAGTGGCTGAAAGAGCCTTCATCTTCTTCTTCACCCTCACTAGCTGTAACCCTGGCAGGAAACTCTGGTTGTGTCTCCACTTCTGGACTTTAGTCTTATTCCAGAACTTGAGTTTTGCGTGCACATCCATTTAACAGATTAGGCTTATCTGTGTGCAGACTGTTGGCTACTTACCTCTCAGGCAGATGCACTCCAACTTGAAGGAAACCCCCACTTAGTTGACTCTTATGACATGTAGGTGAGGAAAGCAGTGGGTCTATTCTTTTCTATTCCCTGTCCACAATAAGGCCCTGGAACCTATACAGGGGTGCTAAAAAGTCAACTATAAGACACACGCTGCATGCTTCATTTATGATTCTTTGAAAATCAAGTGAGTCTTCAATATTGATGCTCTCTCCCTGTCTCTCTGTCTGAAAAAGAAGTACAATAAAAAGTTTCTCACTCATTTCCCCTGTCATATCCATCTTGGCAGACTCCTTTTCAAACTCCCTCATCATGGCTGCCGTTTTCTGGGGGTCCATGACCTTGTTCATCTGTGCCATCGTCTGCAGACAAGCCATTATTTATCACATTATCATTTGCTCAAATACTTTACTTCTTCTTCTTCTCTTTATTCAGTTACCTCAGGCAAGTGTTAGGAGAAGGTATAAGAAAGCAAGTGCACTTTTTACCAATTGTCACCATTATTAAGACATCCAAGCATAACGATGAGTGCAAAGAGTCAGATTATAAACAGCATACTCATTCCAACATTAAGCTACCAGTGCCAAACAAGGACACTAGATAAAGCCCATATACGCAAAACCACCACCTGCGAGATGAGATGCCTGAGAAAAGCAGCCAACCTAACCATCCGAGATCGAATAAATGATGATACTATCAGACAAACTGTGGGAACGACACCTTGTACTAGATTCATCAAGAAACAGCAAATCAGTGGTTTGGCCATCTCGTTAGAAGGCAGCAAAGATCGAATACCATCACAAGCGCTACATCTCAGAAGATCAGCTACAAGAGCAAGAGGACGACTGTGGACAATATGGATCGACAACATTAAAGACACCCTACGCCTTCACAGCATGACAATAGCCAGTGGCACCCAGTGTGCACTGGATCGTAAATTATTCCTCCCCACTGCGCTTAACGGCAGAAGTGGTTTATGATGATGATGATAAGATCTTCTGTGTGCTCTGCTCTCTTTAATGCATTGTAAAAGTTGGTCTTAATTTCTTTCAGGTTGGTCTTGATGATTTTGTTTCATTTGTATATGTTATCTTCCCTTTGCTCTGTGTCCATTTGATTTCATAGCAAAGTTCTCTACAGCAGCTGGTACCAGGGCATTCTCGTCGCATGTCTAGACCACCTCATTTGTTGCTCCTTTCAAATTTTTTTTAATGATTTCAGTTATGGTTTTCTTCTTATTTTATCTCATCTGTTGCTTTTTCATAATTTTTTTTTAAAAACTGATTTCAGTTATAGTTTTCTACTGATTGTTTAACTTTTAATTTTCGTTTCTTTTCCTATTACTTCAGACTTTTGTCTGATACACCATCTCAGTCACTGCATAATGATTAAGGAGCAGAAGCCAGAAAGTGCTTGCTCGCTCAGGCTTCCCCTTTCTACTTTACCACTACACATGAATGGGTTTTGTTTGTTTTAGTATCCAAAAGCCATGAGTTGTTAACCCTTAGGCTTGGTATTATGGATATCGCAACCTTTAGGCCTTGATTCCATTGTAAATACCGTAAATCTGGGAGAAAATGCAGCTTTTCTGCCCACCCCCGGGAGTGAACCAGGACCACAAGGAGTTCATCACCCGCTCACCGTGCAATCGGGTTTAGCCAACTATGCTAGAGAGCTGGGCATGAATGGGTTTAACAAACAGGTGGCTCAGCTTAGATTTACCTCCCATGTACATCAAGATAAGATACACTGAATGAACCCAAAGCTTCAGGAGTCTGGGATAGCAAGCAGTAACTGCAGCTCTCCAGGAGTCTGTGATAGCAAGCAGTAACTGCTGCACTCCAGGAGTCTGGGATCGCAAGCAGTAACTGCTGCACTCCAGGAGTCTGGGATCGCAAGCAGTAACTGCTGCACTCCAGGAGTCTGGGATAGCAAGCAGTAACTGCAACACTCCAGGAGTCTGGGATAGCTAGCAGTAACTGCTGCACTCCAGGAGTCTGGGATAGCTAGCAGTAACTGCAACACTCCAGGAGTCTGGGATAGCTAGCAGTAACTGCAACACTCCAGGAGTCTGGGATAGCTAGCAGTAACTGCTGCACTCCAGGAGTCTGGGATAGCTAGCAGTAACTGCTGCACTCCAGGAGTCTGGGATAGCAAGCAGTAACTGCAGCTCTCAAGGAGTCTGTGATAGCAAGCAGTAACTGCAGCTCTTCTGGATTCTGTGATAGCAAGCAGTAACTGCTGCACTAGAGGAGTCTGTGATAGCAAGCAGTAACTGCAACACTCCAGGAGTCTGGGATAGCCAGCAGTAACTGCTGCACTCCAGGAGTCTGGGATAGCTAGCAGTAACTGCTGCACTCCAGGAGTCTGGGATAGCTAGCAGTAACTGCTGCACTCCAGGAGTCTGGGATCGCAAGCAGTAACTGCAACACTCCAGGAGTCTGGGATAGCTAGCAGTAACTGCTGCACTCCAGGAGTCTGGGATAGCTAGCAGTAACTGATGCACTCCAGGAGTCTGGGATCGCAAGCAGTAACTGCAACACTCCAGGAGTCTGGGATAGCTAGCAGTAACTGCTGCACTCCAGGAGTCTGGGATAGCTAGCAGTAACTGCTGCACTCCAGGAGTCTGGGATCGCAAGCAGTAACTGCAACACTCCAGTTCAACTCATCATCAACAACACCATGTTGTTGTGCAGTTACACATCACATGTGCTTGCAGTTTATTCTTCTCTTTTGTTGTATCCTGTGCACTGTTTGAATAAACTGGATAGACTGCAAGTCCAGCACCTTCAGAATCTCTCAGTAATTATTCCAATTACTTGCGGGCATTAAGTACACCAAAGCTGTTTGACTATCCGATTCCTTGTCAATGTTACAAAAGCAACTATGTCTCCATGTAGGATGCAATTTTTTTGGGGGGAAACTCCACCCTGGCTGTTGCCGGGGACCCTAATTTAACCCAACCTATGGGTTGAACGGGGTTTGAAAATCACTGATCTATACAGATGGCTCTGAGTTGAGAGGTAGTTGATGGAGGGACCAGGGGATCTGGCCGACGATCAACACTTAAGAAAAAGGTGAGATGGATATACAATCAGATTACGATTGGTACCATGGGAATAGGAACTTGCTTGCTGCTGAAGATAGGGAGGAAGCATTTATGGGAATGTCAAGAGTGCTGTGATATTGATTCTTAACTGAACATTAAACATTCCAAAATTTGTTACACGGCTTCAACACTTTTAGTTGTGCTCCAGATTTTAGACACACTACTCCAAGAGGAAAATGTGCCCAGTGGTGGGAATAGTGAATCTTGTGACTGCAAGACAAAGAAGTCCTCTGTTGCTTACCTTTGTTGTTGTGCCCATCGCAGTTGCCATCTTCATGTTGGAGCTCATCACCTGCATCAAGTCAACAATAACAACATTAACAGTCAGCCTGATCAAACACAAAATGTGTCATCTGAGGCTTAGATACCGTAATTCCAAAATACCGGGTTCAATTTAGCTGAAAGCAATCTGCCTGCAGACTGCTGTGCACTGATTTTGACAATGCTATGGAGCGCCAACCATTCAATAGTAACTACTGAACATAAACTGCCTAGTAAAACCACACACTGTTAAAAAAAAAAAAAAGGCTGGGGCTGCTTCTCCAACATCCTATAAAAGATAAGTAACTAACTGCTGATGATCAAACACAAGTACCTCAAGCAACATGCAAGGAAAAAGTACCATCTCTACAGTAAATTTGCTTTCTTCGTTAGTAAAAGGGCAAAAACAACTACAATGAATGTGGAGATTAGTGTTCTTGTTTATGAAAACAACGGTCTGGACCAGAGAAAGAGAGATTTTTTTGGCAACAAATACTGCTCTCAGATTGGCCAAGAAAATAAATAGACACAACATAAGTTTAAATTGTAAGGCAACATTTTTAAGATGCCAGTGAAATGCAGAAGCTAGATAATTTATGTTATGTTATCAACACCTATGTCACTGCCCTTTGGGCATCGCATGCAGTCTTCCGATGCAGCAGCAGCAGCAACCTCTACTGACTGTTCCCATTAAAAGCTAATTATAATGTCTCCTGTCTCAGCCATGAAGGTGGTACAGATATGCTTCCTCATGCTTTACTCCTATGTCATGCTATTGTGTTGCGGCGTCCGTGGCTAAGGCGTTGCGAGTCTGACTCGTAATCCAGCGTACAGCGATCGAAACCCACTGCAGGCTGCGTGGATTTTTATCGTGGTATGGGACGTCGCAGGTCAACCCAGCCTCAAATGGGTACCAGGATGGGCTGTCCTGGGAAAGTAAAGACGGCTGGTGTAATGCTGACCACATTACCCACCAAGTGCCGATTGGTCTGTAAAAATATGGGTGCTCTTCCCATATGCCCGATGCGCCTAAGGGCATGTAAAGGGATCTTTACTTTTTTAAAAATGCTATTGTGTTAGTATCAGAGATTCATCATTATCTATTAACCTAGTCTGTACAGTACTGATGAAATCTGTTCTGTCCATGTTTCTTCCCACATGCACTGGTGCACTGCTTGCCAACCCATCTACTCACTCCTTACCTTCTTTCACTTCGGCAAGAACATATGTATACATCCAGATGAAGGAGATTACATGCAATTTCTGACAGCTTTCTACCCTTTCAGAGCATCACTACCTGTGGTTTTCTGAAGCATGTTCATGAAGACTGTTATGATTACTGTGTGTGTAGCTGCTTGTTGTGCTGCCCATGCTAGTGCTCTGGAAGCATCAGTCATCTCCAGGGTGTTTAGATACTTGCCTGCTGACAGGAAGGTTTTTGTGCTGAAATCTGCACCAAGGGGGATTTACATAATTTCTAGTACCAAATTCCAAAATGGGTACCAGGAAATATCATGGGGTTTAAAGGCGGCTAGCAATATACTATATGCCTGTGAGTCCTGGACAATCGGTAGGCAGGCCAAACAATTTCTTAAGACCTCGGAGATATGGTTTCCAGAAGAATGCTTAAAAAACCTTGGACAACCAAAAAGAGCAGCCAAAAGGTTTTGAAAGAGGCGGGAGCCCGAAGACAACTAATCACAGACATCAGAAGGAGACAGTCATTATTTTTCGGCTATGTTATGAGAAGAGGGAAAAAGGAACATGTTGTGACCACTGGAAGGAGGGATAGAGGAAGAAAACGACAGAAGATTCTTATCAGTCTGTTTGCATGGCATACAGTTGTCAGCACACAAACTAATACAAGATGCAGGAGATCGTAGATTGTGGAGAGGCATGATCTCCCACGCCAGTCGGCAAGGCAGCTGATGATGATGATGATGAAAAAAATCCTGACTTCATCACCTAAACAAAAGCTGATTGGTCAATAAAATAAGAGTCTAAAATGAAATATCAAAAATGTCTCACCTTCTGCTGGTTGCCGATGGCTGAAATCTTTGACCCCATTGAATAGCTTTTTGTTTTCTGTTTTCTCAAATTAATTAGCTGCTTCGCAAGAGTAGTTGCAGCCTGTAAAAACAAATGTGATTTTTCTTTGATAAAACACAGCATTTCTCTACATAAACATTGGGTGTGATAACATGATTCACAAAAGATAATCTCAAACCCACACTGCTGGCAGATTGTGAAGTGATATGACTTCTCCGTCTTCTTGTTATTATCTATTTGTGCTTAATCATCTTGATTGTATTACTTTGTGGTGTCTATTTCCACTTTAATTATTCATTTTTTTCTGCCTCTGAGGTGCTTCATCCTCCTTATCTTTATAGTCCCTGATAGACCAGTTAGGAAGATTAACACACCATGATATCAGAGAGTTAACCAATGGATGAAGCGAAAACCATACAGAGAATTAAACAGCTGAACTGTGACCAAGAAGCTTAAGAAAGGGGGACAGAGAAACAGTGTGCACAAACAAGTTTTGGAGTATTATTCTGCCACTTTTTGCTGTTGTGGTTTGTGTTGAGAAAGGCTGCAGACCAAATATCTGATTTTGAAAAAAAAAAAAAAAAAAAACTGTGTGCATCCCTTTTCCTCTTTCTTTAAGTTCATAAGTTCAGTGGAATCATTTTTTAGTATCAGTGTGACTGCAGTTTCCCCTGTTTTCTTCACTTTTATTTGCAAAACAGACATGAAAAAATGGAAGAGATATTTAGCAAACATCCTGTCTGGGAATATAATTCAGATCATAACGCGATGTCATGAAAGTAAACATATTACAACAAGTGAATAAATACAAAGATATGACCATCATGTGGCAATCTCCCATCTCTAACATGATCATGCCCCCAGGATTTTGAAGATATCATGTCTCCAGTGTCGCGCTCGCTGATCCATTCCTATTCTTCCTGAAATTATACCCTAAATTACTGTTCTTTCCAAAATATTATGGCTGAAATATTTCAGTTTCCACGAACAAGCGTCTTTGTTCAGGATCTCACTGCTTATATCCTGAATAATATAAAGATATATTACTTGTTTTTAATATTTAAAAGTGTGAGAAAGACCATCAAGGTCTTATACCCGATGAATAGAACTTCTCAATGCACTTCCAAGCAGTGAATGACAGCAACACAGTTATGTAATAAAACACAGGTCTGGGGACAGACCATCCACTGGTATAAATGGGCAAATCTACTGCAGAGCAAGACATTCTCTTGTCCTGAGAGTCAGAAACTGATGTTAACTCTGTTTAGTCCCGGGGTTTAGCATCAGAGACCCAACGGATAGAAAAGAAAGATGTATAATTGGCACACCTTACCTTCATTGGGCTTCTATGTAGGAACCTATGAATGTATGATGTGTTCCTTGGGACTGAAAGAGTTAACAGCAAAAGTCACATACCTCCATGTGGAAGACAACTGGAACCCACCACATTAATTTTCAAAGCTTGTATAAACCTTAAGCGGATTAGAATAAGAGAATGAAGTTAACAACTGTCTGAGGAAATTCTTGGACAAGTAGAGTAAATATCAACAGAATTAATCCAGAACACGCAGGATAAGATCTTTAGAGAAGCATGAAGGTCAAAGCCACATGGCAAGGCACACGATGATAATGATATTACCTGTTTGTTGCCTTGTTTTGCTGCCTTCTTGATCTCCATTTCCTATAAAGGCGGAAAAAAAAAATGATATGTTGAATGTTGAATTAAGAGTCGACATCAAAGCGCTCAAGACTTTCGCATAGGTGCTTTGATTCCATCTTCAGCAGCAAGCGGAGAGTTCCAGTTCCGATTGCACCAGTAACTGTCTGACTGTATATCTGTCTCGCCTTTCCCTTGAGTGTTGAGCGTCTGCCAGATCCCCTGGTATCTCCTTGCAGCGGCATTCTCCTCAAACTATAATGGTCTATTTGTGCCTTCGCACTGTTCACTAGCTCCCAAAGGGCCCTCACAACATCTAGCTTGTCATTTAAAAAAAAATGATAATATTAATACTAAACTGTATTAGTGTATTATTCAGTTATTTATGGCATTCCACTTCTATAACTGGGCTTCTTCTTTTGCTGCATTTGCCCACACAAGAGTGGTTGGCATCACACAAGAGTGGTTGGCATCACACAAGAGTGGTTGGCATGTTGTGGTTTACAGCAAGGCTGCCTACCTGTGCCTACTGGTCCAGTGTCATTCAATTTCAGCACACCCTAACTAGTCACCTTTCGCACATGCTTGTGTGTTGAGGGAGGGCAGTAGGGGTGCGTTGTATTCATCCTTGCATCCTGGAACCCACATAGGGATACCACTGGGTTTGATAGCACCTTAGGGCATGCTTACCTTTTACCCTTGGAAGCAATGACGGGTATACACGTTCTCTTCTACATTACAAGTACTTTATAGTTTTACTTATTCTTTCCTGGTAAAACTGAGACTGTTGACATAACTTAACACTCTAAGTTTGCTCGCAACTTTTGTACCCTGGTATCAATAAATAAATCCTCATCGTGCCCAGAGGCACATAAGGCAGAGACAAACTGTCGCCACTCAATCTGATACTCAGCCAACCTCTCTATCTCCAGTTTTGTACTTCGCTTAAGACCTTAGTTCTGCCTCAAAGGTCCAGTTGCCTTTTGGTTTGCCTCTTCCTCGCTGTCCTTGTGGTGTCCATTGCATTGCCTGTCTCGGCGGTCTCTCTTTCTTCATTCTGAGGAGGTGTCCAATCCACCTCCATCTTCGTTTTTTTATTTCTAAATTTACATCATCTAAGCCTGTCATTTGTTGTAATCTAGAATTGCTGATTTTATCTTCCCATGTGAACCCCAACAATCTTCTGAGAAGTCTTTCCTCAAAACCTCTGAGCATGCTGTCTATCTTGCTGTCTGTTTTCCAAGTTTCTGCTCCACAGAGGAGAACTGTCCAACGCATATTTTACCTGGTATATTATAAAGTCTTATTTATTCATATTCTTATTATTAACATCATTAAGTGCTGTGCCGGTAAGCATACAATGTCATGTTTTGCCATCTCACATGATCACCAGAATCATGGATCTGGTCAATGTTTTTGTCTTGCTCTATCCATGTGGACACACAAATTCAGGTATATATCTTTTTGCCTTCCTCTCTGTTCATCAATCTTGCCAGTTGTTAGCAAGCTCCTTCCCTGTGTGGGTTCCAGGTCCCTATTATAGGGAAATCAAGAAAAGACCCGCTGTCTACTAAAAAGCACGCTAGGAAGAGCTGACTAATTGGGAGCTTCCTTCAAAGCTGGAGTACATCTGTCTGAAAGGCAAGGAACCAACAGTCTGCATACAAATGAGACAGATCTGTAAAACAGATGTACATACAACACTCAGGTTCTGAGACAGGACTGCAGTCGAGAAGTGGACAAACAAGTAGAACTTTCCACCCAAGTTTACAGCTGGTGAATGCTAAGAAGAAGAAGAAGAAGAAGAAGAAAGCTCTCAAGTCCATATTGTTCTTTGTAAGAATGCTCTGGAAGACTGTTTTACCTCTTAGGTTTGTTTCATTACATTCAGAGGCATGTGGCTCGATGCAGAGTAAAACTGGCACAGATAATGTCTTCCTAACCTCATAATAAAGTGTTATCATGGTTCATCACCATCATTGACCTTGACGTGTGTGGCCGGTACATGCTAGGTATACAAGCTCATTCAGCCTGTCCAGCCCACAGCTTGCCAGTGAATCAAGGGGAATGTTCACAAATGTCACTCTACACGCACCCCCCCCCCTCCCCGACACTTCGATGAGGTACAAGGTAGAAGAGAAGAAGAAGAAGAAGACTCTACACGCACAAGCAAGACGTTCTAGTACAGTCAATCTTTATTATGGATGGACACACTGAGACAATGATCAACTGGTGATCGATGACTCACTGTCATGTTCCCTCTTTCTATCTTCATCTTCTTCTTCTTCGCATTCACCAGCTGTAAACTCTAGCGGAAAGTTCTGATTGTTCGTCCACTTTCTGAACTGCAGTCCTGCTCCAGAACCTGAGTGTTGCGTGTGCATCAGTTTTACAGATCTGATTCACTTGAATGCAGACTGTTGGTTCCTTGCCCCTCAGGCAGATGCACTCCGACTTCAAAGGAAGCTCCCCAATTAGTCGACTTTTACGACATGCTTTTGGGTAGGCAGTGGGTCTATTCTTGTTTTCCCTATAATAGGGCCCCGGAACCCACACAGGGACTCTTTCTATCAAATACTCACATCGGCAATCTCTAGAATACAGATGGAACACAATCCACACCTACACTCTGTGTCTAGATAGTCGCTACAGGCAACTCCCACTTACACCTCTCCACATCCAACTTTCATGATGGCAGTGATCACCTTATGATGGCTCTCTACTACTACCAAGAGACCCCACCAACCTGAGGGTTTAAGATAGATACCTCATACTCCCTACCTGGTGAAGAAAATCCTGATGCAGTCTGCTGTCTGGTCACTTGTACTGCTGGTATCTATCCCAGACACCTGCCCATTATGTTCCCACACTGGTCAGCCTCCAGTTACTATGGCAATCCATATAACTGAGGAACACATCCCTCCGCAGACCAGCACAACATACAGATGTGCTAGTGCTGACCCCACAACACATGGACCAACAATTAATTATCCATTCCAGAAAATCACAATGACAGCATTCTGAAGACAAACAAATGATCCACAAAATCCACTTACACAGTCCAAGTGCTCCACAGAATAAAAGAACACTGCTAAACTGTCACAAGACATGATAACATTACCATCCTATCTCATGGACTGTCAGCTACTGAATCAAATCTGCTAGCATTTTGCCCCAACAGCAGTCAGTTCAACGTGGATCTCACTTTCCACATACAACCCCGGGTTCACAGTCCATCCATGAATTTCAAGCCACATATATTTCCCAATTTCAGTGGTCCAAGTTTTTATACCCGCCACCCATCCATCAAGAATAACAATTTACCTCCTGCTTCCTTAACCCTTGTCTTCATTAACTCCTTACACACAAAAGTGACTATTAGCAGACAACAATCCTATCCTGCCATTATTTGCCACCCAGGGCTCACAGTTTATTTCTCCCATGCAATCTCTCTGATATCAGTCCAGCACCTTTAGCCTCTCTCATCAATGTTCACTTTAGGGATTTCTTGGACAGCCTTTACTTTCAACTTCAGTGCCTGTTGGGGGATTCTATGCTCATTTCTTCTCAGGATGTGTCCAGCATCTCTTTAAGTCCCAGGGGGTTTAGCATCACAGGCCCATGGGGTTTAGCTTCACAGTCCCAGGGGGTTTAGCTTCACAGTCCCAGAGGGTTTAGCTTCACAGTCCCAGGGGGTTTAGCATCACAGGCCCAGGGGGTTTAGCATCACAGGCCCAGGGGGTTTAGCTTCACAGTCCCAGGGGGTTTAGCTTCACAGTCCCAGGGGGTTTAGCATCACAGGCCCAGGGGGTAGTAAAAAAAGTAATAAAATCAGTGCATCATGCGTTCATTAGGGCTTCTAGGTAGGAACCTATGAAAGTATGATGCGTTCCTTGGGCTCAAAGAGGTATAATGTATCTTATTTGATCTATAGGTGTTGATACCTAGATGGCGGCCTAGATATTTCTCTTACTTCTTCACCTCTCTTTAATTCATTCCCTTTTATGTTCATCACTTCCCTCAGGCATTTGTTATCAAGCATTTAACTTTTGTCTTTAGTAGTTCTCAGAATTTCACTGGTATATTTTAAAACTGAAACAACTTGGGAACTGAAAATAATTTGGTTTGAAACTAAACAATTTAGAGTTCCATCATCATGGTTCTTGATTAAGTATTACTACCATAATCATTATGTCATCATATAATGATAATGATGTAATGAGTAATGATTAGGGCATCAATACTTAACCAAGGAGAACAAAAAGCATTTAGAAAAACAGGCAGATTAAAAGTCAACAGAAAATGTCAACATTACTGACAAGCTTTTTCTCCTCTCTTTCCAGGGCATTTCTATCCCTGTCTAGGTCTCTGGTCTGTTTCTTCAGCACTCTGTCATTTGCTCTAATCTGCTCTGAAAGTGAGACCAAAAGATCAACACTGGAATTATAAACACAGAAGATATTTAACTCTAAGTTGTTACACAAAATCTGTAATGCAGCATGGGTAAAACTAACTTCTCTCATTGACTGGCAACTTGCAATAGTTATTCACTGTGGAAGAACAAGGACAGCAAGTGAAAATGTATGCTAAGATAACTGAATAAGGCTTTCTTCTTATTCTTGTCTTCACTTTCTGATTTACACCGACAGACAGGTTCTTGTGATAAACTTGACTGTTTTTATGAGTTCCTTTTTAGTTCCATACAACTTTGCATGCAGTGGTGACTCACTGGGCCAGTATTGCCCTCTTAATGGGCTGAACAAGGGACAGTCTTGCAGGACATGTTCTGAAGTCTGCACACATAGCCCACAAGGGCACAAAAGTGAACTACTTAGACGAAGCCTGTGCATATGCTGGTTAAGTTTGTTATGTCCCGTCCTGAGATGTAGGATAATGACCTGCCCATGACAGTCAAGTAAGTGGTAGTCATCTCTGGCCAGACTCTGTTCACTTCTGTTATCTTCCGAATAACGGTCTGAATTATCGCGGCCGAAAATATACCCTAACAGGTGGTCAATTGCGGACTTCTGGCGACTTAAATTGCGCACTTGTGGCGACCACCACCATGAGTATCTCCCACGCCGCTATGTGCGGCGTGGATTGGGGCTAAACTAGATGCGGGGACTCACGAGCAGCAGCTACCGCATCTCCTGCAGCTTGATTCATTTTATTTGCTTGCGAGTCCCAGCCATCTAGTTTAGCCCCAATCCACACCGCGCGTAGCAGCGTGGGAGATACTCTCGGCGGTGGCGGAAGTCCGAATTGACAGGTGACTGTTAGGGTATATTTTGGGCCTTGATAATTTGGGACCATTATTCAGAAGATAGCCTTCACTTCTTATAGCCTGGATGGCCCTTTTCTTCTCATAGTATGTTACTACATTCTCTTTCTGGTCACATTCTGCCCCTTTCTTAGCAAGTTTATCTGCTACACCTATACTGTAGTATACCACAGTGAGATGGCACCCACTGGAGTACAGTACGATTTTGGGCAGCCATCTTGCCAAGTTCAGATCTCAAGTGAGGGAGTTTGCCACTCTTGAGGGCTTGAAGCACAGAGCGCATCTGTGAATATGACCACTTGGTGGCAGTCAGAACTGGTGTTGTGTAACATTTTGGCAGCCTGCTCTAGTGCTAGGATCTCTGCTGTGTAGTTGGAACAGAACTTACCAGTGGGTATACACTTTGTGTGGTGGTGGTTGCCTGGGTATGTAATAAATACGCCAGCACCCCCATTTTTAACCACACTGGTTGCTGATTTATCCGTGTAAGAATGTATTCACAACTGTTTGGGATATTCTCCTGAATCATGCTAAGAGCAGCTGTTCGTTTTTGAAGATCACTGGACTCATCTCCAGTTGTAAATCCATTGGCTGAAGTCATTATCTGTATTGCATCACTGACTTGCTCCCAAGGTACAGGGTATAGGGTAGGTTTCATTGGTGGTGTTCTAATAGGTAGATCTCTCGATACTGTCTTCTAAGTATTTTTCCTCCAATGGACAAAGCTGCTACATTTGAGAAGCCCCAATGCCAGATCATCTAACCTTTCATTCATTGGGTGTGACTACATACTATTAAACTTGAATAAGGCTGAGACAATGATAGTTGGCAGAAGAACAGATAGAAGCTGCAACAAGGCCCTGTTAGAGTATATTTTCCGCCTCGATAATTTAGGACCGTTATTCGGAGGATAGCCGATTTATTTGACCAAAGGCTACACATTACATTTTGGCCCAAGGCTAAAAACGGAAGCAAGGAAACAATATGACCTACTATGTACGTCATTAATGACGAGCAATTCGGGTTTTCACAAGATTGTTACTGCAGACAAATGTTGCAAAATCAAAACAATAATTTTAATAATAGTTGCGAACAAAATCCAAACAAGAAACCTGCATAAGTTAAGTAAGTATTATTATTATAATTAAATTACATTCAAAAAAAAAAAAAAGAGGACTTCGCCATTTATCCGAAACCTTACCTTGTACGTTGGGCTTTTTGGAAAAGAATCCTGCCATGTTTCCTATAGTTTAAATTGAAAGGAACGGAATGACTAATTAATCTCTGTAAGTTTTCATCTGTAAAATCCTGCTCCAAAAGACAACAAACCTCTGACCCGGAAGTGATAGCTTCCACTTTTACAGTCGTACTGTTTCATAGGCGACCATGAGTCTTCATTTTCTATGTTTGTTATACTTAATGCTACTTCCCTTTGCCCGTTAACTGACTTACGTCCTTTTCAGGACGTAATTTTTTCTTATTTGAAGCCCCACTCTGGCTTTTGCCAGGGGCCGCAATATAGGCAGGCCATCAATATGGCCAATTGTCTGAACGCGGTTTCTGGGACCTCTCCACGGTGATCCTCATCCGCATGGTGGCACTTTTTATCGCTTGTGTGATGTCCTAGTGGGGTACAAAGTCAGTCAGTCAGTCTGCCCGTTAACTCATCAAAGTATAACGGAAAGAAAGGGGATTGGGGGAGGGGGGGGTGTTGTGGCGGAGAGAATATCCTATTTATTAGCGTTCATGTAGCGGAATTTAAACTGTTCTGACGACTTCATAAAAGTATGAACGGTGCCAACACTAATTAGCATTCCTGACTTCCAGGTCGCCGACCTCACCTGGCGGAGGTCCGGCGAAAATAAGGGCAAGGCGCTTTAAAAACACTTTCTGCAGCAGAGCAGCCAGACCTTTATTATGACAGGACGCAGTTTTGGCAAAGCGATTACTTCAGATAAGTGTAAGTCTCAGAAGTTTGCAGACGATGATATAGTGACAGTGGATGAAATCAAGGCTGTGCTACGGCGAACAAATAATATTGCACCAGGTCCAGATGGTATAAGATAAGATGACATTAGTGGGTGTTCTGAAGATGAGCTGAAAGTGCTAGCAGATATGTACAACAATAGTTTTGTGAGTGCTAGTATCAGTGAAGAGTGGTTACACAGCTATCCGATACCCCTGCCGAAACATGGCAAAGATCACACAATTCAGGGATATCGGATAATCACTTTGCAAAAAACTGTAGACAAATTGCTGGAAAAGATAATCGACAGAAAAATTTCACACCAGCTTCAGAGGCGATGTCTTCTTCCAAATACCCTTGGAGGGTACTGTACTAGAAGCGCAAAAGCCCTAATGTACCAGGAAAAAAATAAAGGAAAAGAGTTCGTTAGGCGGGCACTAGAAACATAAATATTCTAGTCCAGAATGAGATCTTCGGTGTAAAATCTAATCAATCAGCCAAGCAACAAATAAACAAACTAGACACACTAACCACAAGTCCTAATTTGAGCCAAAACAACTGGAACTATAATCACCACATTCAACAGCTGTTTATTTCACTTAACATAAAATCAGCGTGGTCCACAAATAACAACATTAACAACAACCAACTCGCTCGGCCAGAGGCAGAATCTAAAGGGCTAATCATCTCCAGCTAACAAGGAAATATGATAGTGACACCATATGCTCAGCAAGATTACCTCAACGATGGCAAAAACCGAAATATATTTAACATGTAAGTTAAACTTCAATATGCCACCAGACCAACAAATCAGCTATAGCGACCTGCCATCAAACTATCTCCTAGCGAGGATGTAAAATGGAAATCAAATCTAACACCACCTAAGCAAATGAAACGTACCGTGAGACCAGCCAGGTAACCGGCTTTCCCCTACAGTCCCCGTACCCACGCTGGCTAACCCAATGTGCAGAGCCGCAACAGCTGGGTCGGTGTCCTGCAGGGTCGGTCCGGAAGCCAAATAGACCCAAATACTGAGTGAGCTGGCCTGTTTATACACAGTGGCCAGACTTTTCCGCATTTGTAAACCAGAGTAACCTCCGAATAAACCAAAATTGTCAAGCTGCTGAACAGCAGTCTTTGGCATTCTCGAGCCTTTCACAATACCGTCCAAAGAAAGAAACATGGATCAACGCTGCGGTAACTGATCTCGAAGATGCGTACAACAGAGTACCTTTGGATTTCCTAATGTTTCTGCTTCCTGAACTCCAGATAAGCCAATTCCTGTTTCATTGGATCTCTTCCGCCCTCTTCCAGCGAAAAGTAGTGTTTCGATATGGCAGCTGGACTTCTGAACCAACAATAATGCTTCCCAGCCTGCCACAAAGATCGCCATTATCTCCTGTGCTGTTCAACATTACATAGTGAGAATCACAGGCGAGCAAATCATAAGACCCAGAAGAACACTGTCATATGCTGACGATGCGTTTGTGTATTGTCAGGGCAAGGGTAGAGAAAAGTTTGCTGAAGAACTACAAAAAGAGCTCCACCGCATAAGCACCTGGCGTGGTAAAGCTTGTGCACTGGTTAACCCAGCAAAGGCGGCAGTGACATGGTTCTCTTTGAATAACCATATTGTGAAAACTCCAGCTGTGAGTCTATGTTCTGAGGTTGTGGAAAGAACGCAAGAAATAAAATACATGGGAATACAGTTTGATCGAAGCCTTGCTTATACTGAGCATTTATATATCAGATTATAATGAAAGCAAAGAGGTGTCTGTCTGCGATGACAGTGATGGCGGCGGCAAACTGTGAGCAGCGTCATCTATGTCTTCTATACCACGGTCTGATCCTTCCTGTTTTTGAATACGTGATGGCGATTTTGACTCTCAGCCAGAAGCAGATGGAAAGGATACAGAACGAGGCTATGTACATTATACTTGGGTGGTCAAGAGATACAGCGTACCGGGAGATGCGCTACCTTCTTGATTTTCCAACCATGGAAGACAGAATACAAATTTACTTAGCACGTACCTACCCCACAGTCAAGGAAGACACAAAATCTTGCATAATGAAATTAAGAAGGCAGCAGCTTAAAAAATGGAAATCGTGGATGGGTCAAGCCGAGGACATTATTTTGCAGGTATGGTAATGGTAATGTTAGTTTCAGCTTCATAGCAAACGGGTCACCCTATAATTGCTCCTCTCCTGTGCCAACGTAAAACACACAGAATGTTCATCACAGTCCCTTGTGGAGAGATTGACAGACTTCTGTCTCAGCATATGCACTAGCATACACACGCATTAAAAGCATACGGTAGCCATCAGAAGTGCCAACACAAACAGTTTGACATTAGAAGAAATGCAGTTCATCATCGACGGTAGCTGAGGTAACCAACAAATCAGCAGTTGCACACGTGATCAATTTTAATTACATAAGGGCATCACCAATATTGCGACGACAGGTCACGCGACATTTTCTGAATCTACAATTCACAACCCAGCACCACGTTGGTCACAGTCGAAAAACATTCCAAATGAAATCCGCAGCACATGTGACACTACAGTTCTGTGAAGTTCTAACCCAGGCTCTCCAAATCTTTTGTGTCGAGGGTGGCGGGTGATTGTTGACAGACGAGGAGAAAGATGGTCGTGACGATAGTGGTTACGTTATGTTGAAGATGATGTTGTGTTACTTGCTTCGTGCCACACACGTGCACTATGTGCTCAAACAATAACAATACTCGTTCTCCAAATTTTCTTGTTTTAATATTTCATAGCAACAATGTCACACAATTGAGAAAAATCACCTTGTTCATCTCCTAACTCTATATGTATATTTATAGATTCGCAACTGCCACCGGGCTACTAGTGCAGGTTGGGCTAAAGGGTTCATTAAGTAATACTGTCAATCTACTTATCTATACTCTCTTCCCTGCTTAATCAGCCGGTGTTAGTCGCTTGTTCTCCTCACTCCGTCTCTAGGCTGTCCCTCATCTGTTCTTTGCTGTCCTCTTTCTTCTGTCACTGCTCAACTATCCTTTGTTGTTCGTCTTTCTTCTGCCACTGACTGTGCGTGCGTCTATCTGTTTCTGTGAGCTCCAATCCCTGAATCTAAGTCTATCTATCTGTCTATCTATCTATCTATCTATCTGAGCAAACCGCTCCTCTGGCCTATCCGGCTCCTGCGAGGCTCCCTCTGTGTGTCTATGTCTGTGAGTGTCTCCGTCTGCCCTCGAAGGTTCCGGGCAATCGTTTATAAAGGGGTTACTAGGGGGCTCCTACTTGTTTTGCAGCTACTGGCATCACCTGATCTGGCCGGGACAACTAGTTTAATTAATGAGTTTGGACATTGGACGGGGAGAGTCACATGTTGGGTCGCACGGTTCAGGTACGTGGGAAAAGTTCTAACAATAAGGGTGAAAGTCACAAGGGTCACCCCGTGCAAAGAATGCAATACTAATAAGAAGGGGAAGCTGGGGTGCGAAAAGGGTTTGGGATGCGGACTCTGCTACATTCCCTTCCCATCCAATAAAAAATATAAATTTTTGGGAAAAAATTTATCTTTTTGACTGAGCTAAGTGTCCCTCTAACAATTTAGAACCTATTTAATCCTACCGCTAAAATTTTACAACAATATGAACTTCATATACAAACATGAAAACAATCATTAAAAATTCATCAAAGTGCAACAAATTATAAAAGTCAAGCCACCATGAAGTGACGCTCTGGATTGTATGGCGCCCATGAATTAAGTGGCCTTGAGCACGGGGCTCCAACGACAACATGAATTTTACACAATCTGGTCTATACAAGGCGTGTCTGTCAACACGTTTTCATAACGACAGAGATATGTGTGAGAATTTCACATAGCTTTACCGGTTCGAATTCCTCTCAATGGGTTCCAGAATATGTTACGTGATTACAAACCACTCGTTTATATCCATGTCTTATAACAATAACTTCAGCGTCGCCAATATATATAACAATTACATTGATCAAAATAAATATCATCAAAATACTGCATCAAAGATACACAAGCGTCGTAAACTCAAATTACTTCAAATATCCTTTTCCTTTTTATGCATCCGACAGGCTGATCATTTGGTCTATAAAACACAAGACTGTCTGTATCTGCATATCCAGCAGTGCACAGAGTTACAGTTTTAATTTCCTGTCTTTACTGAGCCATTGAGGGTTCGAATCTTCGATAAGTATTCTCAGCAAGACATCTACAATTCTTTGTAAGAGATTCCTCGGCGTAAGAAACAGCCT